TTGTATAGCTCCCGGTGCTGGTGATGTTTTCAAGGATCCAGAGAAATGCCAAAATTTGTCTAATTCCCTATTGTAAATATGGGTGGTTTGTTATATGTGCATTATTCTTACATGAAAGGAGTTTTATTAAAAAAAGAATAGGCTTGAGAGAAAGGAAGCACAGGGATTCAAACTGAGGAACAGGAGGAGGAAGGCAGCACTCTGGAAACTCCTGGAAATGGGAAAAGGAGGATGACGGAGACACAGGTTCCCCATCAGAGGTGGGTCTGTGATGACACAGCTGGACCTGCCACCTCAGCCCAGGACTTCAGTGCAGACACCCTGTGTCCCAAGCTGCAGGGAACAGAACTTTCTGTTTTCTGGACACCCTGTTCCTGACTCTGAGGACTAAAGGGGAGGAGGAGCCTCCATTCTCAGGCAGAGCCCTGGATGCCCCTGGATCCATGGGGGAAGCTACAGCAGCAGAAGCCGCAGGCCAGGCCTGAGCAGCAGGTGCCAGGGCTCACCCTTCGGGCAGAGGAGGAAGGGGGTTCTTGTCTCACTTCCCCCTGGCCCTGGAGCACTGTGGGACCGCTCAGGCTATCATCCCATGCTGCGCAGTAATAATCAGCCTCATCCTCGGTCTGGAGCCCACTGATGGCCAGGGAGGCTGACGTGCCAGACTTGGAGCCAGAGAATCGGTCAGAGACACCTGAGGCTCGTTGATCATTATAATAGATGAGGAGTTTGGGAGCTGTTCCTGGGAGCTGCTGGTACCAGGATACACTATTACTTCCGATGTTGGAGCTGCTTCCAGAACAGGAGATGGTGACACTCTTCCTGGCGGCCTCAGACGCTGAGGGAGGCTGAGTCAGCACAGACTGGGCCCAGGACCCTGGAAGTCAGAGAGACATAGACATGGTGATTGACAAGAGACAAAAGGAGACAAGAAGAGAAAGCAGGGTCCTATGGGCTTCCCAGGGCCCCTCTCCTGGCCCCAAATCCTGTCACCTGCACAGTGAGTGAGGAGGGTGAGGACGAGAGGGAACCAGGCCATGCTGGAGATTGTCCTGAGTCCTGCCTTCTGTACCCACAGCTGAAGCTGCGCTTCACCCAAATCTCTCCCTCTCTTCATACTCTGAGAGGGGGAGAGTCCATCCATGCAAATCAGAACCCCCAGCTTTGTGACCCCGCCCTGAGCCCTGGGCCAGGCTCCTCGCTTGAGGATGTCAGGGGGTGACAGGGGTGGAGCTTTGTGGTCCTAGGGGGTGGGGAGGACGGAGCTGTGAGCCCTGAGCAGAGGACACCAGGCAGGGCAGGTGGCTGGTTCTGCTCTGATCACCCCCAGTCTTCTCAGGAATGATCCCCCTGCGCCCCCTGGTGCCCAGACCAAGGAAAAGCTTTCTCTGATCAGGTGACCAGAGCTTCTCAGATACACGGCTTCCTCCCCCCATTCTGTCCACTGCCCCCTCTCTCAGGTCCAAGCCAGGCCAAGTGGTGTCTGTGTCTCCTCCCTGTGACTTCAGGGCGGGCTTCACACTCTACTGAGGAGTCTTCAGACTCCTCAGGAGTGAATCTGTCCATGGCTCTTTGGCTGTACATTGTAGAGGACTCAGGTGGTGTCTACATAAAGTCCTATGTCAGGATCAAGCCCAGAGCAGGGACCAGCCCCATGAACTCACTTCCCCACCTGTGTGGGACACCGGGTCCTCTCCTCTCATATGGCTCCTTCCTGGTGGCCAAAGCTCCACTTCCTCTGTGGATCCTGCAGCGCTGAGGTGAGAGGGAGCTCTTTCCTCAAGGATGCCCTGGGGAGGAATTCCCAGAGGGTTTTTCTGGTCAATCTTTGTTCTCTCTCTACTTCCCCAGATTTGCAGTCATAGTCATTTGGATACTGTGACCAGGGATCTTGCCTAGGAGTCTGTCCTCCAGCACTGAATACCCATCTGCAGCGGATCCTGACAAATGACTCTGGAGTGTTTCACTTATGAGCAAAAAGAGCAAAGATGCTCAGTCTTTGAAGATGGGAGGAATTAAAACTTCAACTTGGTTTGATCAGAGTCTGTCCTCAGGTGAGCCTGACACACGGTAGCTCTTAGCATCGAGCACCTCAGCCAGGATTTTCAGGGAAAAATTATGGTTCACATTTAGTAGTGAGTGTTGCAGGGCCGGGGGGGGGAGGCGGGGGCAGGGGGGGGCTTAAAGATGATAGACATTATTTATCTTTGATCTGTAATGACATCTAGAATCTAATAAGCTAAAAACAACCAGCTTAAGAAAAAAACGTAATTCTGTTGATCAAAATGAAAAATGAAACAGGTTATGTCTATGACTGCGTGATTTCTAGCATGATACACCCTGGACTCTTAACAAATATTTGTTTGGGGAATTTTATGGGGATGGAGGAAAACAGCTGGATGGTTATGCTGATATTTCCACTGGTGAATGTATCACCAGGCAGTTGCAGTAGAATGAGATTTTAAATGCTCCATTTAAAAATGGAATAGTGAGATTTATTACAGACATTTAAATAAAACCAGTCCATATATGGAACTGAAATATAATGTATGCTTTGTTTTGGGATTGCATTTCAAGCGTGTCATTACTTTAAATGTTCCTTTTAGTGTAAGCCATGTTCCTTTACATAATTTTTATAGTTTTAAAAAAATGTTTATTGCATTTACATAACACATCAGGCATATTAAGTTTTATTTATTTCCAAATAGCAACAAACTATTAGATCTGGGCTTCGCTTCCTGTTTCCTTCTCATTGCTGTCTCTTTGGTGATGCATAGATGTCCACAGTGAATTTTGTTTTCCTTTCCTCCCACTTTAATGAACAGGGGGTCACTGAGGCTGAGCAGTGTCTCACATACAGGACAAGGCTGCCCATGGCCCCCTCCCTGCCCATGGATGCGCTTCCTGGTGGATGCCCCATCAGCTCTTAGGCTGAGGACAGAGAGAAGAACAGGTCCACAGCTAAGGAACCTGGACACCCAGAGAATCCAGGAGGGACCAGCTGGGACAGTGAGCCCTGGACAGAGGACAGTGGATTTTTTATGTGATCCTCCTCAGGGACCCTCAGAGGCAGACCAAAACCTCAATCCCCATGTGTCTTTAGGGCCCAGGTCCTTCCAGGTCTTCCTTTTATCACCGCAGTAGGCCCCGGGCTGCCTCCTCCCATGAGTTGCAATGTACAGTCTCCTCTTTAGGCTGCACCCTCCTTATCACATCTGACCCCACACCCGTCTCCTCATCCCCCCATAAACCATCCCCTGCTCACTTCCATTAGCATTTTTGCATCACTCTGGGATCACAGCCTCCCCGAGGATATCTCTGCAGGATATCCATGTTGCAGAGAGCTCAGCCCTTTGACAGGACCGCTGGGCCTGGGCCACCCAAGACTGAGCATCTCTCTTGCTTCTCTTCTACACCAGCTCTAGGCCAAGCCAGATCCAGAACTTTCAGAATGCTGAGCCCACGTTTTCTTAAGCATCAGACTTCCTCTCTCACATCTGTGGGTCCCACAGGCTGGACTCTTCATTCTCGTCATTTCTCCCAGTTTCCGAGCTCAGGAAATGGTCAGCATACCTTCACCAAGAGGAGGGGACACCTGTGGGACCAATCTAAGGGCTCCTGGGCCTCTGAGTCACACAGGCTGGATTTTTTCTTGTCCCTACCTCATCCACACCCACCATGTGTGGGTAGCTCCTTTTGTTTCTAGAAACAATTTGATTCTGTTTGCACTCGGAGACCAGTAAGAAAAGGAATTTTTTTTACTGAACTTTCTGGTCTGTTTCAGTAACACAAGTGACAGCAGAAGCCTTGGCATGAACTGGCGTTGGTCACAGGCAGGGATAAAGGAGGGACGGGCAGAGAGGATGAGTGGGGCGGATCTTCTCTCATTTCCCTGTGGAACAGTAACCTTTGGCAACATGGAGTCAGGGTGCAGCTGTGTGACACTGATAACCAGACGGGTCCTCAGGCTGGAGCCCAGAGGTGGTCTAGGAGGCTATGGGAATAAACCCAGAGCAGGAGGATCAGGCTGGGACCCCTGAGGGACCATCACTGCTGTCCTAGGTCATAAACTTAGGGGCTGTCTCTGGGAGGCCTCCGTAGCCATTTCCATAGGAATGCCCATTGTTTTTGCTGCTCCCTGTGCAGAAAAAGGTGACTTTGAGGTGGGGGCTCCTCAAGAATTTTCCAGGGAGGAGTCACTTGAAGCAAAGATTGGGCGGTTTCTGTACCCAGATATTCCACAGACTCACCACTAGACCCTGACTCAGCGAGAAGCTCCAATGGAGTAAGAGAGGAGAAGAGAACACAGTCAGGCCCTGAGCGATCAGGAAACCCACCCTCAGCAGTCCCCGTGGTCCTGAGTGGGATGAGCTGCAGGAAAGTCACATCCTTGGGAAATACTTCCCCCGTGGCCAAGGAGCAGCCTCAGCCTCGTCTCAGCCATGGCGGAGCCTCCCCTTGACTCTCTCACGTCCGACACAGAACTTTACTGGCCCCAGGTCTGCAGTTACCCTCAGACCTAACCCCATCTCCTGGCATTTCCACTGAAATGCAGGTGCCCAGGACTGAGCCAGGTCAGCTCTGTATCTGGAATTCCTCCCTGACCTGTGTCCTCAGGCAGCATTTCATATTTGAGGGCCTTGTTCCTGGGACACAGTGAGCCTCAGACAGCCCTGAGAACAGACTACTGGGGATGGAAGGGGAGGTCTCTGCTTGTACACTGGAAGAGCAGAGTCCATGCTGCAGGGGACTGTTCACCTGCTACCATGTCCCCAGGCTCTGACCATGCTGTGAGCTTGGAAAGCCTCATTTTGCTTCTTTCGAGAAAAAAGTCCAGCTCCACAGGTACTGATGTTAGCACACATGGACATGCAGCCAACACTTCAGGGTCATCAGGTGGTTTCCTTTTGATCTGTTTTTGTTTTACTGAGACATCAGAAAAATGGATGGGAAATTGACAGAAGAGCCTTTGACAACTAGAAAGTACATCCAAATGTAGTTTGTGCCTAGGCCAGTTATTTTAAAATTTAAAAATTGTTACAGAGCAAGACCCAGAGCAGGGTGAGATTTTGTCCCACTTCCCCATCTGTGTGTGTCACTGTGAGGACCGCTGCTGTGCCCAATGGCACAGTAATAGTCAGCCTCATCCTCAGACTGGAGCCCAGAGATGCGTAAAATCCCTGTGTTCGCTGAAGCATCTTTGGATCCAGAGAAGCGGCTGGGGACTCCAGAGCCCTGGCCCTTATCTGAGTCTGATTTGTACCTCAGAAGATACCGGGGAGGACTCCCTGGCTTCTGCTGGTACCAGAATATGTGGTAGCCAGCAACATTGATGCCACCGCTGAAGGTGCATGTGAGACTGGCTGATGCTCCAGGAGATGCTGAGAGGGAGGCCGGCTGAGTCAGCATAGGCTTGGAGAGGGAACCTGCAAACACAGACATTATTGGGTGCTAAGGCAGAAACCAGGGTCAAATTTTTCAGGGATCTTTGCCAGAAGAGTCACAATCGGGCTGCGGTGCTGGCCCTTGTCTCTGCGGTCTTTTCGTACCTGTGCAGTGAGAGAGGAGCAGGAGGAGGAGAGGAGTCCAGGCCATGGTGGACACAGCCTCTTTCCCCGCAGTGGGATTGGGCTGCCCCAGGCCTCCTTTTCTTCCCACCCTCTGCAGAGGAGGGGCTGCTCATGCAAATGTGTTTCCACCCAGGGACTGCCCAGCCCCTCCCTGAGCCCTGGGGATGCAGCTCAGCTCACTCTGCAGACTGAGCAGGAGGACGTTTTGCTTTTCCCCTTGGGAGGGCTCTAGAAGAAAACACCTACCGAAACCATCAACACGTTCCTGCTCAGGAGACTCTGCCACACCATGGGAGGACATAGATGCTAAGTCCCCATCAGTGAGCACAGGATCTTAGCCCCTAGTCTTGGATTTCTTTGAGTGAATGGTCCTTACTGAGCAGCTGTGTAGGGACCATAGGGCAGTCCCCCTGCATCCCACGCTGGTTAGAGGACACTCACCTCCCCAGGGCCCAGCTGATCTCTGCAGCTTATTAGTCACTGTCTCTACTCACACCTCCGTGGTCTGATTGCTGGACACTAATTCCACAAGGCTAGGCATGATTATTGTGATTTCTCACTTCCAGAATGAGTCTTGGTCCATGGGATGTAGACATGGGCATATATAACTTTTAAAATCTAGAAAAATCTAACTGCCCACATGTGCCATCAGGGTGGGCATCGTGGAGAAGGGGCCAGCTGAGGATCTGGGTTGAAGGGCAGCTAGGGGCTGTTCAAAAGGATGACGAATAATGAGAATTTTGCAAGAAGAATAAAAGATCCATGACATGTTAAAGGCAGCAATTCATCAAAAGTTATCTCTACAGTGGTTTCATACATTTTCCAGAGCTTTTACTCAATGTAGTGATATGGGGAAATGAATAGCATTGGTAGACTTACTTTTACCAGTGAATAGTGTGACATATTTCTCATTTTATAAAGCCAACCATCATCTCCATAAGTAAAACTTGTTGTTTTCTACATAGTTGTGTCCCTGCTTGCCCTGACCAATTTTGGCTCTGTTCCCAGGGCAGCCTGTTCCAGGAACCAAGGACTTTCTGGTTTTTTTTTTTTTTTGAGGCAATTTGACAATGCTGTTGCTGTGGGCTTTCTCTGAGGGCTGACTCTGAGGAAACAAAGCTGCATTCTCTCAATCATTGTCCCTGACCTGAGACCTGGGCCCTGGTTAGCAGCAGCCCAAGAAAACGTGAACACAAATGGTAAACAGCCCAGTTTTCCTGGTTGTAGGCGGTGCTGTAGGGTTGTGCTCCTAGAGACCCGAAATGTTCCTGTCTCACTTCCCCACAGACTGTAGCACCGTGGGGGCCTCCAGAGGACTGTCTAAATCCAACATTAATGACCAGCCTTGTCCTCAGCCTGGAGCCCAGATATGCTCAGGAAGGTCTCCTTTATAGACTGATCACTCAAGAATCAGTTCTGGATCTGCAGGTGGACATTTATATCTATGGATCAGAGGCTTAAGGGTACTTCCTGTTCATTGTTGGTACCAGGACATAATCTCAAGACCCTTATGGCTGCTGTTTCCAGTGCAGGTGACTGGTTTAGCCACAGACAGACTGTGCAGGCTACCAAGTGAGCCCTGACTGCCCAGGACCGTGAGAGCCAGGAGAGAGACACAGGTATGGGAGGTGACTCCATGAGCCAAGGGGGAAAGGCAGAGCCCTGGTCTTCCCAGTGCCAGCCCCTGCCTTTCTATCTCCAGCCTCCTGTGCAGAGACTGAGGAGGGTGAGCAGCAGAGGGATACAGGGCATGGTAGAGAAGTCTCTGGAGCTCTGCTTCCTGAGCCACACAGATTAGGGGGAACAGCCCCTTTTCCCTGGCCCCTCTTAGAGGAGGGAACTCAATGCAAGTCTAACCTGTCCCCATGGTTGTTCCCCTCACATAAGACGCTGAGTCTTATTATACTTCTTGAGGACTGGGTGGCTGCGAGGTAGCAGAGCATGCTCAGTGACTCTTCAGGCACCCTGGGAGGATGCAGCTGCTGGACCCCATGAATACTAAATAGAGACAGGGAGACAGGTGTCTGGTGTCCCAGCCAAGTCCAGCCATGAACTCACTTTCCAGGCTGCACAGAAATCCATGGGTCTCTCTTCCTTCTTGATTCTCACTAGATCAGCACATAAGGCAGAGTGGTGAGGATTGGCGAGAATAAATTAGCATGCTTGTGTGGTTCACTGGATTCACTGGAAATGCAGAGGACTCCAGGAATCAGAAGGAGAAAAGAAAGGAGAAGGAGGAAGTGCTAGCTGAGGCAAAATAGGAGAATCAGCCAACTCTGGGCTACTTCAGAACTAGGGTATCAGAGAGGCTCGTAAAAGAGAAAAAATAGGCTGAGCACAGCAGCTCATGCCTGTAATTCCAGGACTTTGGGAGGCTGAGGCGGGTGGATCAGTTGAGCTCAGGAATTCAAGGCCAGCCTGGGTAACATGGGGAAACCTCATCTCTACCAAAAATACAAAATATTAGCAGGGCGTGGTGGTCACAGATACTTGGGAGGCTGAGCTGGGAGGATTGCTTGAGCCAGGAGGTGAAGGTTGTGGTGAGTCAAGACCACAGCCTGGACAACCAGGGTGAGACCCTGTCACTACCTCCTCCACCACCCCCAACAAAAAAAAAAAAGAGAGAAAATGTATGAATGCCCAATTCCAACAAAATCTGGAAAAATACCAGTAGGTTTCCTGTTATAAAGCTCTTGATAATTAACTCAGGAGGAAAGAGGGGAGAAGTCATTGACAGGAAAAGGAAGAGACCCAAGACGGGAATTCAGGAATCAGAGATGTGGGAGGGGAGAGGGTAAGGACACTACAGAAAAGACTGGATGAGAAGCCAGTAAGAATGTTGAACAGGAGCCAGAGGGGAGGTCAGGTTTGTTGTTTGTTTGCTTTTGTTTCATTTCATAAAGAAACGGGAGCCTCTCCCCACTTTGCAGCTGTCCTCCCTGGTCATATTCCTACATGGAGTGTGGGTTCTTCCATCGGCTTACTGCAAACCCCACCTCCTTGGTTCCAGTGGTTCTCCTGCCTCAGCCTCCTGAGTAGCTGGGATTACAGGCTGTGCCACCACGCCTGGCTAATTTTGCATTTTTAGTAGAGACGGGGCTTTTCCATTTTGGCCAGGCTGGTCTTGAACTCCAGACCTCAGGTGATCTGCCCATCTTGGCTTCCTAAATTGCTGGGATTACAGGCATAAGCCACCGCGCCCAGCTAACTGTGGGGTTCTTCTATCATCCAAACACATTAGTTCCCTATGTCTGAGATATATCTTAGGTTATTGCCTGCCAAGGATTCTCCTTATTTTATACTATTCTTATGAATTTGTTATTGCCATTTTGTTATTAGAGGCAAGGTCTCACTGTCACCCAGGCTGGAGTGCAGTGGCATGATCATAGCTCATTGCAGCTTTGAACTCCTGTGGTGAAGCGACCCTTCTGCCTCAGACTCCTAAGTATCGACGATGACAAGCGTGCCACACTAGGCCTGGCTAATTCATTTTTTATTATTTAAAAACATGTTTTGTAGAGAAAAGATCTTGTGATGTTACCCTGGCTGGTCTCAAACTCCTGGCCTCAAGTAATTCTTTTGCCTCAAACTCCCAAAGTGCTAGGATTACACACGTGAGCCTCTTCTCCTAGCTGGACTTGTTATTACTCAAACATATGTGTGGATTTTGTGTGGTGGGAACATTTTAGAAATGCAGAGACTGTGTCCTCACCCCAGAGCCACTGAATGAGAATCTGCATTTTGTAAAATCCTCAGAAGATTCATATGCACAATAGAATTTGGGGAGTGCTGTGCTAACACATGCATGGAGACACTGGTGTCGTTTTGGATATAAATTATTCCTCATGCCTTAATCTGTTATGCTCCTTCTTACATGAATCAGAAACTCTTGTTTCTGTATTTAGTGCATTGTGAAGTCAGGTATAATGTACTCAAGGCTTTCCATTGAAAACTTCAGGCATTTTTTTTTTTTCTGACCTCATAAAATCCACAGAAGTTACCAGGAGTGTTTTAATAATAAGATAATATCACATCTTTTTTTGAGTAGCAAACAATGAGAATTCCCTAAAAATGATAATATTTCACTGGTATTCAAATAAAAATAAAGTTAGCAACTATTCAAGTATTTTATCCCTTTTAAGAAATGGAACACTACTTACATTAACCTGAAATGACAAGAGCATAAAGGGCTGTAAAAGCAGATGAAAAATCACAAGGCTTGATCACTGTTGTGGAGATACTGAGAACAAAAATGAAAGAATGCATCCAAATAAAAAAAAAGTAGTCACATTGATTGTTTGAAATAAAGAAGCTTTGCAGAGAACTTGGTGATTTTGAAATACTTTCTGATTTTATGTAATAGGCATGTATTGCTTTGAATGTAACTCAGTAAATACATTTTAGTAAGTTTAGAAGGTTTCTTCTCATTGCTCTCAGCTCAGAAAGCCCATCCTTTGAAGATGCTACTGAGATCCCTGCATGAAGCGGGTGTGTCCTGTGGTGCTTTATGCAAATCTTTACCACATTCACCACCTTTAGCACCACCCAGGTTCTCAGCCCTGCGAGCAGCTACACTGTGAGGGGACAGCCCATAGTGGCCGTGTGTTGCCAGAGGAAGCAGCTGCTCTAACATTTTACATGACCCAGTGAGCAACTGTGCAGGGTTCATTCAGTTTGAACCCCTTGAGCTTCTTATGATGCAGAAGACCTAGACCGCCCCCTGGTGGCTTTCCTGGACTGAGCATGTATTGTCAAATAACTATTGATTTATCTTTTTGACACTGCCACTGTAAATTTCCCAGGCCAATTCACACCCATTACTTGTCTATTTTTTGCTCATCTATATTTGTACTACTTTCTCTTCCTGTTGTTGAAATCCAGCCCCAGTGACTATAATTCGAGTTTAGTGTTACATGGTGTTAATTTTTATCTGAATGTCTTGAATGACTAAAGGAATTGTTTTAATGACCCCATTGGCTTTTCGACACTATTTATGTTGAGTCTCATACTGGATAAGCAGCTAGCTAAAGTGAGCATTTCAAAATA